TTTCTTCCTTTCCTTTTTCTTCTTCTTCTTCTTCTCTCTCTCTCTCTCTCTCTCTCTCTCTCTCTCTCTCTCTCTCTCTCTCTCTCTCTCTCTCTCCTCTCTCATACATCCTTATCTTTTTCTTTCTCTTTCTCTCCATTGTGCAAGTAACAATTCCGTGTAATACATATTTTATTACATACATGTATTAAATATACTATCAATTGTAAATATATCATATTTCACATTTTCAACTTGCCAGATACATTGATCTGGAATAGAAAACGACACAACAGCCTAAACCTTCGTTTTCTGCTCTGTCCGGCTTTTCAAAGATACAAACTACTACACTGTAGTAGTAGTAGTAGTAGTAGGCTTACGACCTTTTCAGACAGATGAAACCTTAGCAGCAGTAAATAAACCTTATTCGCTGATAGTGATAGGTGAACGAAATATCATGTGAACGAGTGACGAGTGAACGAACGAATACTGTCGTAATGTATTGCAATGCAAGCATTACATAATAAATAATATTATATTTATGAAAGCTTTAATTTTCTAAGGGAGGTAAAAACGAAGTTCGTACGCGTTAGGTTTAGTATTTGGAGTTCTACCCCTTGATGGGATCATCGCTGAATCAATACATTATGTCACACCAAAGAGTCTACATATCATAATCAAGAGAGGCTACTTCTCTCTTTGAGCCAATTAAAGAAGTGTCCTCAAAATTCGGTGGCGCCCTCTTCACAAAAGCGCACCTTTTGCGATCAGAGTTACCCTACTTGAGTTTAAAATATCAAAGTGAAACTAGCAAGTTTTTGAATAAATTTCGGAAGAATACTTTTTTAAAATGGTTACGCTGACAAAAAACCTCTTCCGGAGGAAAGGGTGATTGTTTTCTTCGTTTAATTTGACTTTAGAATGAAAGGCGAGAGGTCATTAAAATTTTTAAAATCCTAAAACTCCACACTGAACGAACCCGAACTGCTGATGAACAGCAGTCGATCTGCGCACGCAAGGAGGTGCTATTCCTATTCTTCTTCTGGAAAAACGAAAGAGAGCTTCAAAACAGACTGCAGCGCCATCTGAAGCAAAGAGCATACTTCCTGCGGACACTTTTTTTGACTGAGTGGCCCATCTTGTTATTTACTATCTTTGGTCACACGTAAAGGAATAGAAAAAAAAAATCATTCAGTTGCTGTTGATGATGGTGGGTGTTCATAGAATATTATATAGACTATATAATATATACATGTAGGGCTGCCATAGAAAACACGTCAGCATTAGGCAATAATTATTAATTAATGCATAGCCTCTAATTTAAAAGAGTACCTCAGAATCAGATATTCATTTATACAATAAATATTATGTTCTATATATATTGTCGTTTTGCTGATACTGATATTCACAGAATGTAGTTATTGTATTGTTGTAGGCACTCGATACAGGTCGAAGTCAAAGATTAAGCACACGTGGGTGGCTGGCGGGTGCTCAGGCATGTTTGCTCCTTCAGGGTCCTTCGATCTCTCCTTTCAAACATCTGTCAATATCATTCTGATAGGTCCCCTTTTTCGTTTTTGGTACAAAATGTACTCTCTTGTAACACTAACACTCCTAATCTTCGGCACTTGAATCACGAAGTGCCGTAAAACTCTTACTTAAACAAAGAAACACGCTCCTCAACATAATATATGTAACATTTGACCCCCCCCCCCAAAAAAAAAAAAAAAAAAAAAAAAAAACACCACCCTATAATAATTAATAATATATTATATCGTGCAAGCGGCTCACTCTCTCTCTCTCTCTTTCTCTCTCTCTCTCTCTCTCTCTCTCTCTCTCTCTCTCTCTCCCTCTCTCTCTCTCTCTCTCTTCTCTCTCTCTCTCTCCCTCTCCCTCTTTCTCTCTCTCTCCCTCTCTCTTTCTCTCTTTCTCTCTCTCGCTCTCTCTCTCTCTCTCTCTCTCTCTCTCTATCTCCCTCTCCCCCTCTTTCTCTCTCTTCGTCTCCCCCTCCCCTCCCCGCTCTCTCTCCTCTCCTCTCTCCCCTCTCTCTCCCTCCCTCTCTCTCTTACACAATCTCCCCCCCCCCTCTCTCTCTCTCTCTCTCTCTCTC